GTGTGTGTGTGTGTGTGTGTGTGTGTGTGTGTGTGTGTGTGTGTGTGTGTGTGTGTGTGTGTGTGTGTGAGGATGACTTTGATTTAGTCAAAATCAAGGTGTGTCTTAGAAATGAGCCTCACAGTGCTGACTTCAGTGGCTTCTATCCGTGTGAATTTACTTTCTTTGCTGTGTGTGTGTGTGTTTTCTCAGAGATTCATTGCAGCGGATCTCAACAGAACCTCTCTTTTACAATGACTTAAATGTCCCAGATCTGTCTTTGACTCAGCGTCATCTCCAAGTATGTTTGTAAGTGTGTTGTCTGTGCACGTTTTCCCATGCACACACACACACACGCACACACAAACACACACATGCACACGTGCTTCCACTGCTTCACATAATCCTGCTAAGAAATTAACATTTCATGGACGACACTGAGGTTTGTCAACTGGATCTCATCAAAATTTCATCCCTAATTATGGAAGCAGAGCCGTAGGGTGATCCCCCACATGCCCACCCCCTCTTCCCGCAAGGTGAACTACCAGGCTGAACCGATCCGAGCAAGCTGCTGGTGAACGCGCGAGAGAGGGAGGAAAATAATTGTTGATGATATCTGGGAATCATTTCAAGCATTCCGAGAAAGACAAATAAACATTATTAATGATTGGAAGATACAGTGTTTCCCACCAGAGCCTGAAAATTCATGAGCAAGGCTTTTTAGTATAAACCTGAGGGTGAAGAGTGTAGCATCTGACTGAGGCTTAATAAGATGAAGTTTTAAAAAAATTCTCAGAATTATGATGTTTACTAAGAATTCACTCTTAAAGTCAGGACCAAATCCTGGCATAGGTAAGTGATTCACCAAGTATCTTAGCCCTTAAAAGAGCTCCTAAGGTGATAAAGTGTTCAGAGTGGGGAAGATGACATTTAGAGGATTAAGAGTTTTTTGAGCAGGGAAAAAATGGCAGAAAGACAAAGTTTAAAGGAACTGGAATACGGCAAAAAGGTGAAGGAAGCCGAATATATGAAATTCATATAATCTGGTTCATCTTTTGAAAGGTGCTTCTGTGATAACAAAAAATTGCAGATTTTCATGGAAATGCATCACTGTCTCTTACATTTTGATTAGAGTGAAGATTTAGGGGTTGGCTCCCTGGGGTTTTCTGGTTTTTGGGAATTTGGGAATTATTGCTCCAAAGTGTACCCTGCATTACTCTCCTTTTTATTTACAGTGTTTCTGTGATTTACTTAATCAGTATTGAAAATATTAGTTAAGACCACAAACCCAACAGTAATGTGTTCACTGAAGTCATAAATGAAGCAAAACTTTCTCTTTGGCTGCAAAATAATTCAAATTGTATAGAAGTCTAAGGAGTCGCCCTCTGTTGGACATTGGACATAAAGCAGGGTTTATTTGATTTTAACATTGTCTTTGGTTTTTTATTGCATGGCTAGATCTATATTTTATTGCACAGTTTACGCATGAAATATATGCAAAAATAACTGCCAGTAGCTGTCGAGTTGCAGTCAAATGGTGCAAACATCTTTCCGGATACTTCACAAGTTGGACTTCAGTTGTCGTACAGCACAAGTGTACCAATAAATGTAGCTCAACAGAGACACACTGACTATTTGTTCACTTTGAAATCACTACCATTTCAATAAGTAATCCATTCTTAGGTCTCATCCCAGCGAGACCTGCATTTGCACACACCCCCTCCCGTGTTGACTGTGGATATGTCCTTGAGTTCTGCTTAAGCAGGACTTTGTATGCAGCTTCTGAAAACTTTTTGAATGGCTGTTGGTACAAAATGTCTTTCATCCTAATGTAGGCCGAACTAATAGAAAAATACAGAATATTTCAGACAAAAATTACCTCTGTATAGGAAGCTTGTCAAAAATGCTTGCATTTTATTTCAACATTTAAGTGAAGTGGAAGTGGAAAATATCACAGTGAGCTGCGGGAAGCAAAACAAAATTAGAGTAGAGCAGCTCCCAAATGGCCTACACATATCAGATTGTATTGCTGATTGTAAATGCAAACTCTGAATCAAGGGAAAAGAAACACAAGGAGAATGTTACCAAATGTCGAGCGTAAATTGGAATATGAGAGAAATAAAAATAAGGTCACAGCAGAAACAGTTGGAGTAATGTCTGCCTTCACATTCAGAATAGTGCCGCTAATATAGTAAAGGCAGTCAGTCTAATGACATTGAGCCACTGTGCTAAACCCCGGTGAAAATCGCCTCACTGGAAACCACCACACCTCTGACTCCTCTACCACATGTCCATAAAGACAGGCTGCCTTGATTTCTCCAAATGACTTCTAAAATGCTGCAGCAACAGAAGCCGGGATTGCACGTTCATCACAGAAAAGCCTTCCAGCCAGCAGCCCACCAATGAGAGGACTCCGGGGAACAAACCGGTAACCATTTGATTAGAGACCTCACTGAAGAGGAATGTTCTCCTCCAAGGAGCTCAGGGCTTTGATTGCACCACAGCAGCGAGAACATGGGTGCAATCAAGGGAGGATTTGGACTCGTGTTCCCGTCATCACCCTCGCTCTCTCACACACACACAGCACAAACTGGGCATGGCCTGCCAGCTGTGGGTAACTCATTCTATTACATGTGTGAAAGCGATAAATGTCTTTGTGGTTTGGGAGTGACAGCCAGATAAGCTAGCACGGTGTGCTCGTATTTACATTCTTAGTTTTTTGATTTATTTAATGACCTTTTGATTCAAACTGAAGTGGTTAAAGCCAACCGGTGTGCTATGTTTTGCTAAATGCTACTGTCACTGCTACTATGCTAACAATGCTAATGCCAACATGCTGGTGTTAAGCAAGATTTTTTTTGTTTGTTAAGCATAAAAAAGGCACCAAACTCAAGAGATCAACGGATGAGCCAGTGTTATGTCTACACATAGCAGACAATTTAGCAAAGGACCAATTTCTTACTTGCAGCCTGTCGCAAAAACACACTATTTGTTTCCATTGCTTTACTCGCATCTACACACAAAAAAACCCCCCCAAACCCTCCAAAAAGACACTTAACTGAAAAACTGCCATATCTGGGCTTGGTGTGCAATGTTTCCTTAAAAAATTGAGGAAGCTGGACAAGTAGGCTTAAAAACCTATCTACAGCATACATTTGAACAGTAGCTGAAAGTCACATTCTTAAAAAAAGCTAGAAAAACATTCAGCAAAGATCTGACACAGGACTTGAGAGCCAGTGATGTTGCCTTGTCAAAACTGATGGAATTACAAACATGAAAAGCACTGTAAGATTTTGATATACCAAGAAATATGATCTGGAAAGTATCTGGGTGGAAATATTTCACCATGACAATGATCCCAAACACACTGACAATGCAATAAAAGCATACCTGAATAGTAGAAACACAATGGAACAATAGTGATCATGGATTGGCCTCCCCAAAGCCCAGGCCTCAACAGTACTGATAGAGAGGGAAACAAAAGGCAAAACATCCAAAGAAGAGCTTTGAATGTCCTTCGAGAAGCCTGGAGAACTACTCCTGAAGAGAGTTCAGCCTGTATGATTCTAACAAGATTAAAAATCAATATTTAGTTTGACTGCCATTATTGTTTAAACAAACTCTTTTTGCCTTTTATGTTGTGTTTCCATGCATGTTTGCCCACATTTCTCTGCAGCTATTTCCCATGCTCTTAACAAAATATAGAGAAATGACGGGTGGCTTAATAATTTTGCACAGCATTGTACGTCTTTGTAAATTTGGCTTATGTAGAGCCAACATAAGAACATGGTCCTATTTGCATTTTGAATTAAACTGCATTTAAGTGAATTAGCTTTGCAGATAATTTGCCAGAAACCCAAGAAGTGGACACATTTTATTTCCTCTCCATTTACTGTTAATTTATTGATAGAAACACAAATAACCATTAGTCATGTAAATGATGTAAATACTGAAAAATTCAGATGCCCCTGTAGTTTTTATCTCCCACTAGATAAATAAAGTTCTCAACACTTAAAAAGGACTTTATCCCTAATTCTTGCAGAGATCTCAGCAAACCCAAATCCACCAAATCTGTCCCAGCGTAACTGAAGAAACCTAATTTTAAAATGATTGAGAGAGAGGGGAAGGGGATGTCATCTCCCCACCCTCACAGTAGCACTACTAGTTTCAGCACCATGGACAGCTCAGGCACAGAGCCATTCCCTGGACAGCATCACCAAAGTTTCTCCTCCAACCAAAAAAGCCTCCAACTCCTCTCCACCACTTCTGATCCTTACCTCCGATGTCTGGGCGTAGAGTCTTGTCGTACTCCTTGAGCAAATTGTTCAGAATGAGCGTTGCGTCCTCCTGGTGCGACCTGGGCACCAGCATTTGATTGACAGTGGTGTCCTGATGATCCTCATCGTCGTCGCCATATTCCCGTAAATCAGAGCTGTTTGTGTGTGTGAGAAAGAGAAGGGGTGGAGGAGGGGGCGAGGAGAAAAGGAGAGGAGGGGAACGAGAGGTCTTAATCATGTTTAAAGAAACACATTGTCATGAAAACTTTGACGCAGAGAAAAAAGAGGGAAAAAAAGAACATGTTTGACTTGGAGCCTGCTGTAGATGACAGTGAGACCCCCAGACTGTGGATTTGGGCGCAGCAGTAAATGGTGCTGTCATTTATCCCCCCCCCCCCCCCCTTTTCTTTCTGTTGGAGTGCGTGTGTGTGAGGGAAACCCTTAGGAAAAAAAGAAAAGAAAAAAGAACCATGCATTACCACACAGGCTCTTTCACACATGTATGGGATTTCATTCACAGCAGTCGAACTTTTGAAGCTTTAACGCTGCTCTCAGCTGTTGATCGTAGAGAGGGAGAGAGAGAGAGAAAAGGTGCAAATGACACTCACCGAGCACCTCCAGCGAACAAAAGTGTGAGGAGGGTGACCACAAACTTGATTGTCATTTTCCCACGCGCGGATCACCTCTGATCGCAGGAACCGGTGGACTGCTGCTGCTGCTGCCGCTGCTGCTGCTGCGTTGCTGCCGCGATCAAGTGCCAGCGCAGTGAAAAGGTGTGGAACCATCAATCCCAGCTCTCAACTTCCTCATCCGCCCACGCACTTTTTTCTCCTGCGCGTCATGTGCACCGAACAGCCACCACCACCTCCAACACCACCACCACCAACAACAGCACCAGCACTACCACAGCAGCGGATCGCGAGCTCTCTCCCGCCCCCCACCTCCCTCCACCACACTTCCTCCTGGTCTTCGCTCCTTCGTGGGGAGGGTTTCCTCCGGGAAAGGCACCCGACGATAAATCAGTGAGATCCAGCCCAACACAAGCGGTGGTAGCCGAAACAAGAGGAGGATGGTGTGTGCGTGTGTGTGTGGGAGGGGTAGGGAGGCGGGGGTAAGGGGCGGATGGGGTGTGTGTGTGTGTGGGGGTGTGTGTGTGTGTG